TTCTCTGCAGCTTGCCTGGGACACCCAAGGCAGTTGAAAGTCAGCCCTTCCCAGGATCCTTTGTGCCTGTCCCAGGTGCCCCTGCTGACTTGGTTTGGGCATTGACCCCAGAATTTCTCGAGCATCTGAGTTTGCTCCCTGAAACATTTGCTCTTTCTCATGGCACAAAGACATGGAGCATGTGATTAATAAAGCCACAAAGGACCACACTAAAGCATCTAGCACCCCGCCCATTGTCCTCAGAGGTGAGTTGTTTTCATGTAAACATCAAATGCTACTGGTGGACAAATGGTCCTACAGTCAACAGAGCTCTTAGCCTGTCTACCAGATCTAGGATACAGACAGGCACAGCACCAGGATGTAGAGAGTCAGAGAACCAGGACCACAAAGGCGAGCCCAGTAGCAAAACAGATCAACAAGACAGGGAGACCAGGAAGAGAGACAGGAAGCAGCAAGTTAGTCAGCCTATCTGTCAGGTGGCTCAGGAAGGGCTCTAAGAAAAACAGGTGAAGTGTTGATGACGTCTTTCAGGAAGGGACTATAAAAGGTATCCGCGTCTCATCATAGTCATCACACCCAGCATGACCATCCCGGTAACAGCCATTGTATATTACCATCATCTTTAATTCAAATAAGTTGAATGTGTGATTATATGTATATCATGCTGCTCATCACATGCGGCATGACTATCCCTGTAACTATCACCCCAACCTCACTATCAGAACCACAAAGAACACTAGCAATGCTTGAATAAGTACCAATGTGTGCATTATGCTGTAAGGAAAAAAAAGGAGAAGGATAAACAGCCTGTGGGAGGTTGAGGCAGGAGGATCTCTGAATTTGAGGCAGCTGGGACTACATAGCGAGTTCAATGCCAGCCTGAACTGCAAAGAGAGACTCTGTCTCCAAAAAGGGTAGGGAGGAGATAAAAACCCTACCCGCCCTTACTCCTCATACTTCATAGCCTGGAATTGGAGCCAAATAACTATGAGACATGAGTGACATACCAATTGGAAAAATGTCATGAAGAGATAAATATAAATTCCGAGATTCACTCATTTTCAGAATGTCTAGGTAGACACAATGACATATACAAAAAAGTTTCAAAAGATTGCAATAATCTACTATGTCAGAATTGCTAAAAGGATTAATTCTCAAAGCAGTGCTTAGAATGGAAGAGTATGAAGTATCTCATTCTTGAGTTTATTTAAAAATATAAAATCTGTGATATTCTTCAGAATCTGTTATAATCTTCATCAGTGTCATAAATGCTTACCATGAACCAAGCACTGTGTAAGGACTGAACCTAAGGACCCCCTGTATGGTAGTAATGTCTTCATGTTACAAATGAGAGGCAGATTTTGAGAAGTTAAGTGATGTCTACAGGGTCACTCATCTGGGGAGTGTGGGGCTGATGTGACCCTCAGCTGTCTGGCTTCATGACCCGCACACCTCACCATGATGTAAAGCTGTTTCCCGCAACCTTTCCCAAGGGTCTTCAAATTGGGGCAGGTACTGGAGGACCCAGAGAGCACAACGAAAAAGATATTTGAGTTGTTCATATCAGAACTTTTCATTTCATTCTCTCTAGTGTCTATTTTAGGCATGTGATATAATGTTCATATAACAGAGAACATATACAATTTAGAAGTCACAGATATATGCTTAATCACCTATTAAGAGTTGTGTTGTCAAAAACGGTAGGTAGATCACTTGTCTTGACAAACCTGACATGACTGATCCCATAGTTAGGCAAGTAAAAATCTATACCTGGGTCCAAGCATACACTGGGCAAATACATTCCACATGGATGGTTCTGAATCATGAGTTTGTGCTCAACAGAATTAAAGTCTTGACTGTGGTAACTAAAAATTATGGCTTAGCTTCCTATAGAGCCTCTCTTTAAGGTCATCAAATAAACTGAGTTCATCAGCCTGTGTCTAATAGGATGATTCTTTCACTGCATATCACAGGATGATCCATATTAAAAACAATAAACATGAGCTACTTGCCTTACTTTTTAAATTAATGAGTAAAGCTTCATCTTTTTCTAAGACCCCTCTGAAAATGCTTCTAATTTTTCTTTGTTCAAAGAGCAGATTACTTTTAAATGAATACTTATCTGTTAAAGATACATTGTACCTAGAGAAAACGACATGGTCTAAAATATGCTTCAAAATAACCAGCAGTCAGGGAAAGGCTGCTATCCAAAGAAGCAGGACTTTCCCAAGCTGGTTGATGGATATTTAGGGTGTGTGATACTATTCCACCAAATTCTATCTATGTCATTAGGTGGATACTATTTTAAAACAGTCAAAGGCTTAAAAAATGCAAATGAACGTTCTTTTCCATTGAGCTCTGTCAAAACGCATATTTCAGCTGAGAAAGGAGAATGATCTGATGTAAGCTTCACAGAAATTATCATAACCCTTTTATGCATTCATGAAGTAGTAAGTGTGCACATATAGTAAATGTACACATGCTGTTTGCTGTCCTACTAGAATTACCCTCAACCTATAGAAACAATTAAGAGAGAAAAAAGATCTGATTCATAGCATTAGCTATGAAAAATTCAGGACAGAATTTTTCAGGGAAAAATTCAGGAAAGAAACAGATCTCCCATGTCACAGAAATGAACAGACTTTTGAAAATATTTTTCAACTAATGGTGTTGGTATGGGTAGAAATGAATAGATTTTGTACGCATGCCTTTATCTCTTCCTCCTTCTGTACAGCCTACAAGCTGAGATTGAGTCTATGTGACTCAGAAACCTTGGAAGCCATATGTGAGATGCAGACCAGAGCTCCCATAGAGAAAAGGTGAGCCAACAAATTTGACTTTTCTGCCTTCAGGATTAAACCATGGAACAGTTCACCCATGGAGTCATCAAACAACACAGGGAAGGCAGGACCCACAGGGTGACAATGGCCCATAGCTAATGAAAAAAAGCAGAAACTCTCTCCTGAAGGAAACACCAACACGTTGGCCATATCATCCGTCCAAGAAACAAGAACCACCCTGCCAAGAGGCCCCGGGGAAGAATCCTTCCGTAGTTCAGGTTCCAGTTCTCCTCAGTCCTTTGTATTCTGACTAACAATTTCCACACCAAGAACTCAATTCCAATTACACCCTGAGATAGGATCGAAATGATAGGTAAATATAGACCCAGCTTTCTGCCCAGGCAGCCAAAGCACACAGTGCCACAGGGGACAAAAGGGGCTGATTTGGATCTCTCACAGCTGTGACATCTTCTTGCAGAGCAGCTGAGGGCAACTGGGAGCGCCACTCACCAGACTGGGTTACCAAGAAAGCAGCGGGGAAAAGCTTGGACTGCTCATCATGACATGGACTTTCCTTGGAAGAGACAGGATGGGGCCACCTCTCCATGACGTCTAAGATGAGACAGAAGGTATAGATGAGCCATGCTGACATGACAGCCCTGGAGTCTGGGAGGGGGTCTGTACTGTGTCACAGTCCTGGAATCAGATTCTCAGACGTGGGAGAGGTTGACAAGTGTCATCTGTTCCCTAGATGGAGGAACCAAAGGGTGACTTGAAGGAAGGCATCGTGGTTTCCGTTATGCCCACCAGTAAACCTCCAAGTTGCCCCAATAAATGCAATTAAAGGAGAAAATAATCTTTGACCTGCAGGTGCTTTTCTTCAAAGACACTGTACCCTTCCTTGAAAGACCAGCATGCCTGGGTCTCTCTCACGTGGGCATTCGGATGTCCATAGACATCCAAAGCTTTATCAACCCTACAAGTGGTCAGAGATTAGGACATGGTAGCCCCACCCCGTCTGCAGATGGATCCATCTGAAATTTTTTTCTGAGCCATTCAGTAGGAAATGTGAGCCTGAAAAGTTCACTTTCCTTTTCAACTAATAAATAATTTCAAGATTCTGTACAAAGAAGGGGCTTACTTACATGATAAAGGTGCTGCACAAAAATATGTTTCATGATACAAAAATTTGGAAATAATGGACAAATAATAATATAAATGGTGTGACTTAATTGGATAAGGCTCAGTCATTAAAAACAATGCTCATATAGAGAATATAGCAACATCAAAAGATAATCATGATGACAAAATGTTAACAAATAAGAACACTAAATTTAGTAGTCATGGGCTCAATGCATATTTCATAAGAAAACCTACTCATAAAAATGCCGAGATGGGGTCCCACTTATATGATGGATCTAGAAAGTCAAATTCAAAAGAAAAAGGAAAGTACTGGTCACCAGGAATGGGTGGGTGGGAATGAGTGTGGGCAATTTCAATCTGGGTTGATGAAAAATCTGAAATTGGACGATGTGATGTTTGCACAACGATGTTAATGTAGTAACACCACTGACCTGTACACTTAAAAGCAATTAAAACTGCAAATTTTACATTATGTATAATTTACCACAATAAAAAAAATGCACCCATGAAAATGCCAAGAAGGAAATAAGCCAAAAGATAAGAGTACTTGCATTTGGGAGGACTTCGTGATTTTTATTCCTAATTTTCTGTATTCTTTTAAATGCATAAAAATATATTCAGTTGATTGTGGAAAATCCAATAAACATTTTTCAAAATGAATTACAATGTGGTGTAGATATACAAAGGGGGATTCCTTAGCCATAAAAGAGAGAAAAAATTATATTACTTGCAAAAAAATTGATAAAACTGGAAATCATGGTGTCAAATGAGGTTAGCCAGACTCCGAAAGACAAGTATCTCAAGCTTTCCCTGTGAAATCTAAAATCAAAAGTTAAAGTACACTTTTCCAAAATTAAAAATTAAAAACGATTATCGTTAGAAAGAAGAAGGGAAAAGAGGAAGGAGTAAGTAGTATGGGAGGGAGATAAATCAGGGACTAGATATAATAAAAATATATTATGTACATGTATGAAAATATCACAGTGAGACTCAGTATTTTATAAAATTCACATGCACTTATAAAAATAAATTTAACAGATTTCAGTATGATATTGTATTAAAATGCGTCTGTGTCTTTCTGTTTGCTGCAAGCATACATTTTCCTTACTTAAATACCTTGATGGCCTGAATTACCCCATCACTGTACAGAGAAGGAAATTGAAGCTCATAAAGATCAGCTGACCTTTCAGGATCAGGCTTCGTAGCAGTGACGGTGCTAAGGTAAAGGACCACTAAAGCCCCGTGCTGTTTTTGAGGAACAGTTGGCACAGACCACCAGAATTAGACATTCACTTTGCCCTCAGACACAAGTTTCTCCAAAGTGTACAGAAACTGCCTGTCCACTAACTACAATTCCAACCAGCCTCTAATTCCCATTAATTATTGTAGCATATACGAGAAACTACTGATTATTTTGTAAAAGCGCTCTTGGATTTAATGCAAAAGAATGCAATTTCGTGGTGACTCCCTAACCAGTAAACAAATTTTCTGCTCCTTAGACACTCTGAAGTATTAACGCCCGTTTAACCTCAGATGGGAGGTCTTCATCTATTTTGCAATGTCAAATAAGAGAAAGGTCCCTATTAGTGATTATTATAATTTCATTCATTTTCGTCATCAATTACCACAATTTTGCTTAAGCTATTTACTGTATTTCTCCCACATCCTGGTTGTTTTTGACTTCCAATGGACCAGCAGACTTGGAGGACTTCGGTCACAGAGTCCGAATGGAATGATGCTGAGGTGGAATTCCATAAGCGTAGGTGTTGTAAGCAACCCTGTGCACAGTCCCTCTCCACCCCAATTCACATGTGACTTTAATTTGCCCCTATTGCCAGCTCAGTGATCTTTGTGCTCCTAAAAGAACCAGACAGTGAATGTCAACGTCAAGAAATATTCATAAGTCCTTTGCTAAACCCACTAAAACAAAAGAAAGCACTTCTGGTATCTAGTACCTCGTAATTAAGAAACAACGCCTCCTTAGTAATAGAGGGAATGTGGAGCAATGCAAGGGCTCAGCCAGAACTCCTGCCAAGCCCCGAGAACCAGCTTGGTCGGTGGAGGAGACAAATAGATACCATGAGTCAGTCATAGTGTATACTGCAAGCCATCCAATCTACAGGGCTTTCTGTGAATCAACACAGAACTGTCTTTTGAGCTTCCAACTTCTGCAGAAGTCACAGCAATAAGATGGGACTCCTTAAAAAAATCAGCTGCAGAGAATTCATAGCAAAGGGGCCTGAATAGGCTTAGGAAATGGGTTCACTACAAATATCACCTCTGGAAGATAGAGCTGGACAATAGGGGGCTGTGTTGAACAAGGATCTGAGTCTATGACCACAGTAGGAAGGAAAACTAGTGTCTGCCTTTGCTTAGGAGTGGGGACACAGATGGCAGCGTCTGTGGTAGGCATTTATTTGCCATCTCTGGCCTGAATAACCACAAAAATGTCTTTCTCAAAAAATAGGCTCTTTGGGCAATACCAGTTTTAGGCAAAATGGAGAGGAAGATGAAAATGGCTCTGAACAAACCCAGTTTCTCATGAACATCCTCTGCTCCCTAGCCCACGTCCTCAATATCCAATATTCTGTCAGTAATCTCTCAGATCTCCTTCTCCCAACTCTCGTCCTGAATTCCTTCTCTGGTATAAGCACAAGGACAAAGACTGATAAAATCTGGAGGAACCAGAGGCAGAGTCCCATATTTCCCGTAAACCATATGGAGCCCAAGGAAGAAACCACATGATCTTTTTTTTCTGGCTTTATTGCCTTCTTCCAAGTGTCACCTACTAGTTCACCATAATAATCCTTTCTCTTACCTGAGACCTGGGCTCCAAGTGACCGAAGAACGGAGAACAGAGAGGAGAGATCCAAACAGTAAATAAAAGATGGGCACCACAGGGGAAAATTTAGATGTCAGCCTTCCCAGGCCTTGCATGTGTTCCATTTGGTTTTGCCCACACAGAGATGCTCTTTAAAATGTCCTAAGTCCTAAGGGGTGGGTATTCTGTCTCAATGGCCCTGTCCAGCTCTCAGAAGCCACAAGTGCACATGCAGGAGCATCCTGGATGAGAGAAGGGAGACATAGCAGAAAAGAAGTGGGCAAGAAACCAGAAGCCATCTTTTCTCCTCCTTAAGGTAGATGCTTGAGCAAAGGCAAAAGAGTATAGACAAGGATCTCCTTTCATATCCAGGATAGCACCATGCCAGACCCAAAGGGAAGACTCACTACTGTGAAAACTAGGTCCATCTCCAGCAAGGCGAGGCCCCTAGAGGAGAGTACAGCCTCAGGTTCTCACTGCACAAGATCAGTCCCTCTGGCCAGGAAACTGACCCGAGATGCCTCACAACCCTTTCTACTTTGTCCTGAACCAAAGGGACTTGGAAGCTATGTATGCAAACCTCTAAGCCCCTCAAATTACCTCTCTGCCTCAAAACATAATGAAGACATTTAATAAATGATGAACAAGTAATAAATAAATGCGTGGACCAATCGATGACTCTAGCCTCGAGGCCATAAGATCAACCCAGAGATGGGCTTCTTTGAATACTCCCTCAACTAGCAAAGAAAAAGATCCATTTTCCCAATGTTCCCATGGAGGGAGCTGCTTTCATCAAGTCTTCCCAGAGCTAAGGTAGCCTCGGGGAGGGACCCTGTTACCATGGGCTGACTCTGTTCTACTCCACCCACTCAGAACACGGTGCCTCCACTAGGTCAACCAACCCAACTTTTACCTTGCCAGCCAGGTTACTCCCTCCTTCCTTTTCCCATCAGGGAGAGAACAGCAAGCACCTGGCACAGGTGAATCGCAAGATCAGGCCAAATGCGATTAAGTCACAGTGTAGTCATTGGGGGCTGAAAACCTTAGCAAGTGACACCCTCCTGTGCCTCCATTTCCCACCCAGTAATGGGGGATAGATAATAGCACCCGCCTCTTTAGTATCATGACACTGCCATTAGAATATGAGCTCCAGAGACAGGGGCTGCCAGGTTATTGGAAAGCTGGATGCATCATTCACAAAGTGTAGCTTTGTGTATACAGTACCCCCTAGAGTTGTGTTTTGTTAATTGCATGTCATCTGGAAGAGGGATTTTGTCTGTTTCCACAATAGTGCCTGACTCACAGTAGAGCTCAATAAATTATGATTGGGTAAATGAACAAGACTTTCATAGGATACAACTAAATTGTTTAGGAAAGGGGCATGGCTTTGGAGGCAATGCTCAATAAAAGGTAGTGGTGATTAGCATTGCTGATTATATCATTAAGTTAATTGGTAAAGCACTTCCCCCCAGCCTGGCTTTTATAAGTCCATAGGTTGTGGACTTGATCAAGCGTCCAGCTCCCACGGAGGGTGGTTTTCCTCATAGCCTCCCACCACATCACCTGCTTAGCCAGGCCTGGCTCGTTCCTGCCTCAGCCCAGCTCTGACCCCAATCTGACCCCAAGGCTGCAGCAGAATCTCGGGGCTGCCATCTGGCTGCCCTGAAAAACTCAGGACTTTCCTCTTCTCCACCTTCTTTTGGCTCCCTGCTTTGGCACCCAGGCATCTATTCAGTAGCCCTGTTTCCACTCCAAGGCCACAGATCTTTCTTAGAAACAGCACAAGGGCTCTGACACCTCTGCCAACGAGGACATTGCATAATGACAGCACCTTTTTTGCAGGGTGGGGGGAGAACCCAATTTCAGAGAGCAGGGTAGAAATTTTTCCCTACATCTGCAAAAGCTGTGCAGATTTCTAAGCTGCTTCTCCTTCACATCTGTCTCTTGGAAAATCAGACACCCTTGGCCTCAGTGTGGAGGTGCCTCTGCTTCCCCACCAGCGCCACACCTGCTTCCAGGGGACAATAGGTAGCTGCCGCCTTTGTACAATATGAACAGTGTCAGAAAGGAACCCACCCTAGAAACATGACCTCTCTGAATGCCTGGGATTCCACCATTACTGATTCACCCCTTTGGGCTCAGCACCACCCACTGTCTGACCCTCTTGGAAACGCAGTCTCCTGGGAGGAGTCACACACTAAGTAACGCCTTAGTGAATGAATGTATCAGGTGTTGTATTTCCTCCTGATAGGAATATCTGGATGCCTGGTCCAAGGGCTTGAGATGGGCCTTGCAGGAATCCAAGAGGAAAGAAGGCTTTGAAGTTAAATTTTGTTAGTGTTGCGGGTTCCCAAAAGCCAGGTCTGCCACAGTCCTCCAAACACAGCTGGCTCTGAAGCAGTTTATTTTCGTGAGTTAATCACCAAAGGATTCACAGAGGCAGCATACACCAAGAGCCGACCTCTGTACTCACGTGTAATAGATACTCAGCGAATGCTAGTCTCTCACACCTGCCTCGGGACATAGGATAGATCTGTCTTGGAGGAAAGGGCTGGTCCCTTGTCTTCAGGGTGGAAGAACTCAGGTTTGCCCTCTACCCTCTCCCCATCCTCATTGAGTGTGAGTACTCCTCTGCCCAGCCAGCTCCTTTGGCCTATATCTTCTTTGTGACTGCTGAAGGAGAGAACTGAGAGAGATCTAGATACATAGCTTGAACGACTACTCATTGGGGACCAGAAACTTGGTTTCCTAGTTCCTAAGGCTGTGAGAGGTTAAAGAGCCTCTTGCTTGGCATGGATTTCTGGCTTCTGCTTTCTGGCTCTGCCAATCCTCCTGCAGAAGACCAGGTCCTGTTCTGTGTCAGGGTGGTCTCTGGGGACAGGATCACCAGCCTCCTTTGCTTTCCGGCCCCTAGTTAGAGTGAACCAATGGGGATCCCCCCCCCACCAGGAGGTTGGAAGAAGGAGAGACAGGTGTGAGCTCTATCTTCCCTAAACCCTTCCTATTTGGCAAGGTTGGAAGCAGCTAGATCTCCCTAGCACTGGCCAGAGGTCGTAGAGGGCAGCTCCTTGCCATGATGCCAATCATTCTGGTACCAAGGAATAGAGTCCTCACCAAGCTCTTGCTGACTTCTGAGTGCCTGCAGCTCTTACTGATCACCACCCTCCAACTCCCACCCACAAGGGGACTTGTAATGATTAAATGAGATTACAGAAGCAGTTGCTTCACCAACATCCACTGAAAAAAATAAAACCCCCATAAGAAAATCTTACCTTAGGAGGAAACATGTTAAATCAGCACCAACCTGAGGTGTCACCTGTCTGTGCTCATTCAGTCCATTCTCAAGGTCACCTGGGTATCCCCAGCTGCTCTCTAAGTCATGCTTCTTCTACCTGTAAGCAAGGGATTCTAGGATCTTGTCTCCTTTTGGTTTCTGATAGTCATTCCCGGGGATTTCTCAGGCAGGGAGGATTTTCCCCTTGGAAGTCCCACTGTTGGCCAAGCCATGGAGTATTTGATCAAAGATGTCATACTTTCTGAAAGAAAGAAGAAACAGAAGCAAAACTTTTCTCTTTGGCACCTTTCTTTACTTTGAGCAGGAACTTGTCCCATTTATATTTTAAGCCAATTTATATTTTAAGTCGTTCCCCGCAATCCTAGAGCCTGTGAAACAACTCTTACAGCACAGCGCTGAGTATAGCAACACGCCGACTCCCATTTTTGGAAGGGGAAAGAGGTTCAGGAGTTGGAAGGGCAGAACCCGGACTGAAAACATAGATTTCCTGTTGCCAGAAGGCTTCCTTCTACTCGGAGAAAGCAAGCCCCAGCCCTGCTTCTGTGCTTGGAACACTAATTCTTTCTAGAAGAAATATATATTCTATATACACGTCTCTGTATTTTCAGACATCAGTCATTTAAGGCATACCCAGTTCTATCAGCTTCATTTATTAGCATCAATGAAGAGACTTTAAAATCACAAGTCCTTAAAAATAGCTCCAAGGCTGTTGCTTTGTCAAGCCCACTATAGGTGCCCTGACCCCTGAGCTTCGTATGCAGAAGCAATTTGGGTCAAATGAACACCCAGGAAAGGCTCAAAGAGAAAAAATGGACAGAGAAGGCTCCCAGGAGTGGCACGATAGGTCTTCTTTCCTGGGAGGCAGGCCACTGCCCTTCAGAGATCACTGCCTCAGTTATTACTAAGCGCTACCTGCCAGTCTCACGTTACAGCTTCACGTGCATCACCTCCCTGGTAGTTATGTCTCCTGACTGACAGGTGAGGGGACTGAGCTCAGGGAGGTCAAGCAGCTCACTCACATTCACACTTCCACGTCTATGTCCATTCCACCTCACCTGGATACCTTTTCCAGGATGCCACAAGTTTTCTTAAAACTTGTGATTGTCACCTGCTCCAGCCTGGCCCCTTACCCACACCAGTCCTGTTCAGAGGTGGCACTGTAAAGAGGAGACGACGTTACCGTGTGCAGGGTTCTAGATAAAGTTTGCTCTGAGTCATGGCTCTGGGCCAACAGAAGAGATGGGGATCAGGAATGGCAGTTTGCAAGGAATGGCATGAGTCCAGCTCTTGGAATCTCCTTCTCAAGTTTGAAACCGCCTGTCTGTTAGATACTATCTGAACTCACAATAACTGAATACACAAAAAGCCCAAAGTTCATTATGTAATTTAGACTACTCAGCCATCCTCATGGAGGCAAGATAAACAACTCAAGAAGGAAAAATCACTTCTCTTACTTGGTCACACAGCTAGTAAGTGGAAGAGACAGATTCAAATTCAAAGCTTCCCTTGAACTGAGCCTTGAGAAGAAAAGGTAAGGATGTGGGCTGGAGAAAGATAAATCAGTCTTGGTATTGAAGCAGACTTCTCCAAATCGCAGCTTCAACCTGTACCACAGAGCATTCTGGGATGATTTAATACCTCTTAGTCAACAATAGGCAAAATGGCAGCCAAGCTGAGCACACACATGGGGCTCTTCACCTCTGACTACCCACGGGCATTCTGGGAGTGCAGCAGCTTTTGTTGGCTGGAGAGAGGGTGATCGGAGGGTTCTTCTGGCAATAGAAAATGGTAAGGATTGGCCACAGTGCAGAGCTGGGACAACTCTGTCCTAATTCAAGGAGCATACACACAGCACTCAACAGTGTTGAGGCCAATACTGTAAAGCCACTGGGGTGCTAGATGTCTGGAATGACACAGAGGAAGAAAAAGAGAGAATGGGGTCAATAAAGATGTACAGGGAATATTTAATTTTTAAAAACTTATGTTACACTAACAGATGCAATTATTAATCCTTCTCAGAATACACACACACACACACACACACACACACTTCCAGCACACTTATCCGATGTTCTCATCACTTTCTGAAGCCATTCTGGAAGTTGCCTTTTGTGAATGTCTTTAAGAGGTATGGTAAAAAAATATGGTGAATGCTACTGCTGAGTGCCATCCAGTAGAAAAGCAGGCTAGTTGGGGCTGGAGATTTAGCTCAGCGGCATAAGCGCCTACCTTGCAAGCAGGGAGTCGTGAGTTCGATCCCTGGTACCGATAAAAAGGAAAAAGACCAAAAAAAAAAAAAAAAAAGAAAGAAAGAAAAGCAGGCTAGTCCACAGTGTGGACCTCAGAGCTGCACAATGTAACTTCTGGCTCTTCCCTAAAGTCAAAATGGGTTTAGGATATCAAGGCAGCCATGACAATGAAACCAAAGACACATGGAGAGGTAATGGTTAAATTCTATTTTATAACTCCTATTACACTCAGCCTGCATATATCTGAGTTGATTTCCTCCTCTTCACAGGGCTGCTGGGCAGAGCTGAATTACTGAACACATAGTTTTAAGTTCTTGCTATATTCCAGGTATAGTACTCACTGCTGTGTATTGCTTAGTTGCTTTAATCTTGAGTGACCTGGGAGGTAGAACTCTTACATCATCACTACAGTAGACTGATGACATCGGCTCAGAGACTGTAACACCCCCCAGGGAACTCAGCCAAAGAGTACTGCTCTTGGAGGATAAATGTCAGCTAGTAGTAACAATTCTGGTTCCCACCTATGAGCACCTTGAAAGCAGATACAGGACTTGGACTGAGATTTTATTAATTATGAAATATTCCAAACATGCAAAAGTATGTAACATTACAGATACTCAGGTAACACTCAGCCTTAGAGAAAAATGTTAAGCTTGAAGTCTCTGTAATTTTAACCTCCCGAATCATGTACCTCCTTACCTTCCCCAGAGAATACACATTTGCTTTACGATGTTGCTGGAGCATTTGCTCCAAGCCAGGGGTGGCTCTCAGATGCTAACCTGCTCTTCTCATTTTCCAGAATTGGGGATTCATTATTTGCATATTCATGTTATGCTTTTATCATATGTTCAGGTATTCATTAATAAGATTGGGTATGTATTGCATGGTATGAAATTTTATACAAATGGTAAGACTTGCATGAAATCTTCGGAAATAGCATGTCTTCGTTTGTCTTTTTGGAGACAAGGTCTCACTATGTAACCTCTGCGGTTCTAGAACTCATAGACTCAAGCAATCATCCTCCTTCAGCCTCCTGAATAGCTGAGATCACAAGTGCACCACCATGCCTGGCTGAAATAATGCATCCTGATCATCTTTTCTTTCTAGGAAAAAAGAAAGAGACAGAGTAAGAACACCTTATGACTAATTAGACATTGTAATAATAAATGAATTGACCTGAGTTGGAAACAACTGTAAGGAGCTTCAAACTTTATCTTGTATGACATGATTTTAATGTGCTTTCAGTAGCTGAGAAGCTATCAGGAAGGGATGTGAAAGATGGCACTGCAGTCTGTCCTGTTCAGAATTCAAGCTAGAATCCCAATGTTAAAATCATAATGATAATAATACAGTTTTACACTTGCATAATGGGTTGACATATTTAAGGCATTTTGCTAAACTTTGCTCTTTTGGGGGGATCACCATGCTAGTGGGAAGACAGTATTTCCAGGGACTGGGACACTGTATTTCAGTGTATTTCTCTTCACTACTGTTTAGTTGAGTGGGTCTTTCAGAGCATATCTTCCAAAGAGGCTCGATCCAAAGAGAATCTGTGATCCATTGTGTGTCATTGGGTGAAGATGTGTCTTGCTGGGGTTTCCAGTAAGTTAGGTCCTTGATAAGGATGTGGGTGATCCACCCAAAGTCTCCTTCCTCCCTTCCTTGAGGGTCCCTGTCTGATACCTTCCAGCCACCTGCCAAACATCCTCAGCACCCTTTTGCCAGTCCAATTATACATCTTTTCCTTTCTGAGCCCCAGCACATAGCTTGGCTCATGTACCCCCTGCCACATTGTTCCTTGCTCCCTGAAATTATGCTAGTATCATACAAGAGTATTTATTGCTTAGCCTATAGGTGTCCAACCTTTTAACTTACCTGGGCTACACTAAATGAAGAAAAATTGTCTTGGGTCACATATAAAGAATATAATATAGTTAATGTATATAAGTAATAACACTTCCTTTATTTTTAATATTTTGTTATAACATTAAAATGAAATGACATCTGTAAGACTCTAATAATTAAGAAAACTTACACATCCAGTTAATAACAATATTGTATGGCTTCATAGGCGCACATACACACACACACACACACGCACACACACACATACAGAGGCTGGTTGAAATTCTATTACTGGTAATCACTAATGTGTGCTTTACTTACCAAGAGGCACAAGCACTTATAATGCCTGATTCACATTCTCTGAGACATCAGAAGCTTGGAGGAAAAAAAAAATGTAGCATTGTAAGTTGTCATAAAACCATGAATTCATGTTTAAAATTATAACATCAATGATTTCATGCAAATCATCCACATTCTAATCAAAGAGCAGAAGTCTCTTTTCCAAGGTAGCACAGCCAATAAAGTCAGAGTCTTGGTTCAAACTGAAGTCCTCTTAGACTCACCAGTGTTTCCTTTGTTATTATAATGTCACCTGTGAGCCTTAATAGAGAAAGCAAAGCTTACCATGGGAGCCTTTTGGAAGCCCAGCTGAATATTAAAGAGGACTCTGTGCAACTGGGAACAAGAGAGTGTCTGCTGTATGCTCACGGCACTTAAGATTGTGAAAGATAGGCTTGAAATGAAATCTGATGACCAGTATTCACTTTTACGACATGGTTCATAAAAATACAAGTCTCATAAAGAGCCACCGTGACCAACCAAAAGCCTGTTAAGGGCCTGGAGCTTTTATTTCACAGCCAACAATCTGAGTTCCTCACATGTCCCCACTAATGATGCCCCACATGACCCCGAGCCCCTGGCTTAAACTTCTTGTGCCTCATTTTCTCTGTCTGTAAAAGGGACATAATGACACTAGCCACCGGATCATGTTGGCAACATGCTTAAAGGTCCCCAGATCAAAGGTGCTCGCTCGCCAGGGCCAAGCGAGATGATGATGGTGCTTACCGTCATTAGTGTTGTTATTGTTATTATTGTTGTTGTTTGGAGTGACCACGTTGCAGCCCAGGAAGAAGACATGACTCCCTAGGCTGACTCAGCACCAGAAACAACTGGAGAGGCCTTTCTTGCGCTACAGAATCCATTGCTGCTGAAACCGCCCCCTTTTGCTATACTTCCCTAGACGTCCTTTGTTGCAAGAGGCATCATCCTCCTTATAGATTGGGCCATGCCTCCAGCACCTTCAAGATGTGAATATCTGTCTTTGCAAGAAGCAGGCCAATGAGAAAGACGCCATTACTTACTTGGCGATAAGGTTACTCTCATCAAACAGCTAGTTAATGAGCCCTGGGCTCGTAGCCAGGAAACATTAGATTGGAGTCCCAACTCCATCACCTTATGACCTTGTGCATGAGCCATAATTTCTGAGGGTCATCATTTCCTGATTATAATTAGGATGTTATTTTAGCAATGGTAAAACAATGATCACTAAAGCGATCCCTTGGTCTCCTAGCCTTGATACTTACATTGACCCTAAAAGTCACAACAAGGGGATTCATCCCAGACAATGTCTTGCTTAGCACATTTCTCCAGAGTTTAATGACAGCCCCTAGCACTATTCTTCCAGCAGTCTGCTGGCTCTGCACCACAAGCAAGCAGTAATAGTCTAAGTTTGGAACAAGGAAAGGTACTGAACTTGTGTTGCAATTTATCAGGAAACTGAGAATTTAAAATAGAAACCCAAACTCTGTGTACTGGTAAATGCTTTTTGTGGCTCTCATGTGGGACCATCATTGATCTTCATGTCACCAACATACAAAAAGTCACCCATCTAGGGGGGCGAATTTGAAAAGAAACCTCTTCGGGGTGCTTGCTTTCCTGTGGACACCTGACTTGTTGGCAGATTTTATGTTGTGCAAGTGGGGCAGTTCCCTGACAGAGCCCAAGTCTGATACGTAGACCACGAGCTGGACTCTAACACCTAAGAGGCCCTTAGCCTACTCCCCTAGGAGTTCTCTGGAGCCCTCTGAAGAACTTAAAGGGTTGCTCGGAAACTTAATCCCCATCCCCATCAACTGGCTTTTATTGCTTTGCATGATACTGGCCACCCTTGAAGTTTTTTATTTGAATAAAATGGGATGTTTATATATTTAGTGACGTTTAAATATTTAGTATATATACACATATATAATAGAAATAAACAAAATGATCATTTGGACAGATGTGAAATCTCAAATGTAGAAAACATATTTTCTTAGGCTATGGTAGCTTAAAGGAATAAGTGTAAGAATTTTTCATTTATGTGAGCTCAGGACTACAAAAAAATTTTTTCCCTCTCTCATATTGGATGTATTTTCTACCCAGGACCCTTATTCTGATCGATGTAGAATAATTGGTTTAGTTTACTTTTGAGTGAAATAAGTGTGCACCCACGTTTTAAATCACCATTTCAGGGGCTAGGGACATAACTCAGCAGCACAGCATCTGCCTGGTAAGTGCAAGGTCCTGAGTTCGATTTCCAGTAACCAAAAATAAATAAATAAATAAATACATAAATACATAAATAACCATTTCACCTCAGTGTGTGTATGTGTGTGTGTGTGTAATGGGAGTTTCATTATGTATACAATGAAAAAAGAAATTTACCTCCTCTGTCTTGATCATATACTGGCCTCTGACTCCAAGTGTAAATCACCTCACCTGGAAAGTCCCATGCTGGAGAGGTTGAGATGCTGCCACATCATTGTCAGCTGCCTGGAAGCATCATCCAGACACTCTTGGGCCTCTCCCATCGGATTCATTCTCATCCCATTGTGGAGTCCTTGATGGGTCTCCCAGCTCTGGGTTTTGTTTTCTCTCTTCCCTCAGCTCCCCTTCTCTCTCTTCGTCTGACTCTCTCATCCTTTCTCTTCTGTATGAGGTATGATCAAAATATATGGTGGATGTTTAAAATTTCAAAGGATGTATTACCGTAGGAGGCACATTGCCATTAATCCCCCTCACTTTGAATGCATTTTTCTCATCATCCTTGAAACTTTCTGAAGCAGTTCTGGAAGTCCTCTTTTGTGAGTGTCTTTACAAGTTGTGAGTATCTTTACAATTATATAGTGAATGTTGTCACCAAAGTCAATGTAACCTAAAAGCAGGCTCATAAACACATTTCAGTGTACCTTTATTTGCCCTTATTCACTGGTTCTGGAAAGTTCAAATTCTGATTCTTCCCCAAAGTCAAAATGACCTTGAAAGGTAAACATTTTTGAGTTGATTCAGGACATCAAGGCAGCCACAGTGGCACGACTAAAAACATTAATGGAAAAGGACTCCATAACTGCTCCTAAAAGTGGCAAGAACAAGGAAATAACTGTTCAAGGCATGAGAGATTCCTTCATGGGGATTAATAGCAAGATTTCTTTCACTGTAATAATTTCTTTTTAAAAATTTAAATATTACCCCACGTTTCCATCATGTGCATCAGCTTGATGCTGGGTTTGACATTCTGAGCCTCTGGGAAAACTGGACAGCTGTCCTGATGTCTCCTTTTCCCCACATCACATCACACCACTTTTACTCTCTGGCAGCCTTTCTCTGCTAAGCAGAGGACTTACCTGAAGATTAGTGATCCCCCCAAGCCTGTACCCTGGGAAGACTGATAGGGGTCCTCTGTACTGAAAGTAGATCCCACCATGCCTCCCTGACCATGGCAGTCTCAGATTGTAAAGGGAGGTACAGAGGAAGGTCGCCCACATTCTTTTTTAGCCCTTTCCCTTCATCTCTGTCTCTTGTTCTGAGAGCCAGTGTCAGTGGTAAAGGAAAAAACTGACTGGCCCTCTCCACCTCCTGAACTTTTCAGTCTTGTAGTTGGATCATCAAACATGTGAACTCAAAGATAAACACTTGTCATCTCCGTTTGGAAGTTACACCATGTCAAGAGTGGAGAAAGGGTCTCAGGGTGCAAGTATGTGCAATATGGAGATGTCCCAACTTTGCTCTCAAGTCACACTTGCAATAGAGACAGGCAGAGAGGAGGGTGGAAGTGGGGCATTATCAGTGTTGTGAATGGGACTCAGGAAAATGAATGCCAAGCAGTGGCGCTAAGACCAAAGCAAAATGGAAAGATTCTATAAAAATGTGCATCAAAAGTTTGTTTCCCCCAAAATGTGTGACCACTTTAGCCTAGCAATTCTATTTCTGG